AAGCAGAAATTGTATTGCAACTGTGAAAATGTGATTCAAAAAAGACTGATTTTTAGAAAGAAAAAAGACTGTTTGTTGCCGCATTACCATTGGGGCTTGGATAAGCAAATTTAAGTTGTAGTATGACATTCAATGTGTTACGATTGCGTTTAATTTCGTGTGCTGTGTCAATCTGAAGTTCTAAGTTCTGTCAGGTCAGATCATAGAGATTATCATGTAACGGTACGATGATCAGTGACACTCGTATCAATCGCACATTCTTCTCTTTCTGCGACTAACAATATTACTTGTTTTCCGAAGGTGGACCCAAATGGAATGAAAGCGAGTTGGAAAAAATGCTCTAAAAAGAAAATCAAGAGAAGATTAGTGAACTGAAAGTTCGTGAAGAATGAGACAACATGTGCTATTGTTTGCTTCTTATTTCTTAATTTACTTTTGTAATGGAGCAGGAAGGTAGAAGCATGTTTATAGCGAAACATAGTAGGGTCTAGCGCATTCCAGGGAGTTTGTATCCTTGCAAATAGGAGTTTCTGTAAGACTCACTGTGTGGGATGTCCGTTTGCACTTCATAGCGATGACCTCTTGTGATGCCTACATAAGGGGAGATTTGGAATAAGTCCGTCAGCTGAAGGTTTATCTCAATCGTGATTAATTTATACATGAAAAACATGTACGCAACTTTCCTGCGAAATTCGAGTGAGCAATCGTTGAGTTCTCTCAAACACTCTTCATAGGGAACGGGGAATGTGCGTTGGTTTCACTCGTATTCATGTTGTGTTGAGTGGGTCGAAGGACTGGAGGTATGTTTGATGCTAGTTTAGCTATCACGATTCGGCTTGACCGCTTCAGGCTCCGAAGAAGGCGAATCCACCACAACCTCGTGGAACTGTTTTAAAAACATTACATCTACAAAAAAATGCCGAGGTTTATAGAAAGTCAGAGATGGCAACTACTGCAAAAGTTGTGCTGAAAGATCCTGTAACAGAGAATTTCACAGTCATTGTAATCTTTCGAAAATAGGTTGTAGCTTCAAATGCGCGCATCAAACTGTTTTGATCAATAGTTAGGTGCTTTAACGTAAAGTAATTGTTTACTTAATAGGTCGTACAACCACCTCCTTCGAGTGACTCCTTCGTTCCGGCGCTTGTCGAGCGAAAAACATCATTTACTGCGCAGCCAGTTCGCAGCGCTTTCCCAGACAATCAGGTAGGCATCCTCTTTTGGATCTCCATTGAAATTTTGTACAAACTTTCGTCTTTCAAGGATTCTCATTCATCGTCTGCGGTGAAAGGACCAACTCCTAGTTTCATTGAAGGCCCAAAGACACCGAAACCGAAGAAGAGCAAGGAAAAGGAAAAGAAACGGTGCGTTTTTTAGGCTTGCTGTGCTATTAAGGAAGATGGTTGATTTGTGGGAGAACTTCCCTACATCTTTCGACTTCTTTCGCTTTATTCTGTTATTTTGTCTGAAAATATCTTATCGAATCTTGGAGGATGAATCGCTGGAATTCGCCCGCTTGGTTCGGAGAACTCTCCCATAGTTCTATTAGTCCATTTTTAATCCCGTCCATGGGGTCTTGTCCAGGGTATTTTCGAAGGTTTCTTTTTTCTTTCTTTATTATCATTCCACTCACCCACGTATTAGGTGGTTCTGCCGCTCTGCACCTGCGCCGAAAGGCGGAACTGCGTTTGAAGTAGAATAATTGAGTTAAAATAAATAAAAGTTCTTGGCTTGTTCCGGTTTTTTTTTCGCCGCTGTATATAACCTCTAGAGCTCTTCGGACTAGAGATCCTAACATTTTAGTTCGTTCATATAAACTATATGTCAATCATACGTGAGAATGCATGGACATTGTTTCAATCCCTATCTAAAAAAGGATATTTCATTGCACGGCGAAACGTGTGCCAGAACTTTCACTCGCAAACTAATGCTTAGATGTTCGGAAGTTACCTTAATATTCCACGTGGGTCAGGAAGGGCAACACTGAAAATGGCCTACAAACCCTTGAATGGAGAAGGAAGAATGACCTTCAAAATTCTAAAAGATTTGGTAAAAATATGTGTAGAGGACTTGTTTTCTATGTTACCGTCCAAAACGAGAAGAGCATCGATCAGATTAGATACTACTATTGCGAAAACTCAATTCAGATCAAAGTTTTCTGTAACAGGGTTTGCTCAGGTTTTAACAACCTTTTACGGGCAAATATTTTTCCGCAGAAATATGTAACCTTTAAGAAACGTATTGATGTGTTTGTTTAATTTTTTGTCTCTAGCTTCATCGGAAATTGTGTTCTCTTAATTCTACTCACATGTTCTTTGACATGTGTACAGAATAAATAAGTAAATAAATAAATCCCTTGTTACAAATGTTTTCCTTACGTCAACGTAAATTTTTCAGATTCGATTTGTCTTGTAGTGGGAGTGAAGTGGAAACGGATGGGAGTGAGGCCGAAATGTGCTGCAGGTGAGTTTGAGCGATGAAAGAAATTGATATTTCGGTAGAAATTGAAATTGTTTATATTTTAAATTGATATTATTTCTTGTGAAAGCATACCCGATATCACCTGAGAGGTGTGATCCTTTCCTTGCACAAATTGGTTAGCTCCACCAGTCCATCATGTTATCCGTCTTCTTTGCTTGCTGTCCCTTTCCCCCTTCGATATCATTTGCGCCATTTCAGGTGTGGAGTACAAACTGACCTCTTGTTAGTTTTCAACAGCATCCACCCAAGGCTCGCTCTGTGGGAGGGCGCACACGATTAGCGCGTATGGCGTTGCCGTAAGGCTTAACGAGTGGGGACGAAGATACTGGTAACTCCGATTAGCTACAAATGTCCTATTTTGCCTGCCAGCCTTTCTTGAAAGCGAAGCACTTTCTCGTCTGCAGGCAGGCCTATGGTAGAGAAAGGATGCTTGTTTTTAGTAATAGTCCAAGGTTTTATGCTCAGTTTCCTTCTTCTCTGCCTTAACCTTGCGTTATGGTTGACATTGTGACCATCTTTCTGGAATGTCTTTCAATTCTTCTCTATCCGCTCCACAACAAAACGAGAAATCCGACTAACTAGCGCCGGAGCCGCAAGAGGAGCCGCAATGGGCGTCGCTACCGCGGCAGAGACATCTGAATGCCGCTGTAACCATCCGTCGGCTTTGGCATTTTATTGTGTTGATCTGCATTCATACTTTGTGGCAGCGTCCACCAGCTTACGTCAGCGTCTCAAGGGGGCTAGGGAAGTGTAGGTGTCGATCTGCGAAAGCCAGCGTGCACCAGAGTCCACCAGCGTGCAGCAGCGTTTTCGCGGGCACTTTTGAACCTAATCAAAACTGCCCATGATAACGCTGGTGGGGACGCCGATGGGCGCTGGCGTTCACAGATCGATACCTACACTTCTCTAGTCCCTTTGGACGCTGGTGGAAGCTGGCCTTCGCTAGATCGTAATCTACAGGGGGAGGGGGCCTAAAAAAGTCACTTCGACCGAGTCACATATCAGCAAAGTTTTCGCAGCCCAGACAGAGGACGTGGATACGAGTACCAGGGCGGAAGATACCCAAGATGTTCCTCGATAAGCAGGAGCTGGCTCTCGCCCATCACCTTCATGTACACCA